GCTTTGTATTTAATTACTTTTTGGTTTTGATAATTTTATAATGAATATTCACACTTGTGTATAATTTGACAATTTTAATTAAAAAAATCAAAACCTAGTTTAAATGGAAGAAAGCTGTTTCTCATAAACTTCAAAAAATAATCATTTGCTTAGGGTATTATAAATAAATTATCCACATTTGTCACTTGAAATTAGATTTTGGTAACTCTTACTCATTTTATGTTCAGTGCTGTTTTTACTTTCTAAGTAGTGAAACTGTTCATTTTACTGAGTTGTTATTGTGGGAGTAAAAACTATAATAGACAGATTCATTAATTTGTAGTGGTTTATTTTAGTTTCTCATTGAGTTGATCTTTGAGACAATTACTGTAGCTTGATTTTTCTTCTACCTCTTCTAGTAACAGGGGCATCTTATTTAGGAAAATATGAAAGAAGTTAGGGCTGGTTACCTGGAAAGCATGCTCAGGAAAATGGAGGTTGCCATTTCCTACTCCAGGGGATCTACCGACAAAGGATCAAACCTGTGTCTCTTGCATCTCCTGCATTGGCAGGTGGATTCTTTACCACTGTATACCTAGGAAGTTCAGTAATATACTGTCCAAGGCACTTCTGGGATTTGAACCCAGGATCTTCTGTTCGATAGACAGATGCTTTGACCAGCTAAGCCATGATACTGGCATGCTCAGAGAAGCCATTTTTAAATATTATTCTGGACTCAGTAGCATCATGCATATCAACTTCAAGCTTTCTTAGTTCCTTTTTCCATTTGATGGAAACTCAAGGAATAACAAGAGGCATATCCAAAATTCCCTCCAATAAGGGACTTAGATAGGGACGTAAATATATAAACATATTTCATACATTCTTTTTAAAAACTTTTAATTTATATTGAAGTATAGTTGGTTAATAATGTTATGGGAGAGGGCGAGGGCGGGATGATATGGGAGAATGGTATTGAAACATGTATATTATCATATGTGAAACGAATCGCCAGTCCAGGTTCAATGCATGAGACGGTGCTCAGGGCTGGTGCACTGGGATGACCCAGAGGGATGGGGTGGGGAGGGAGGTGGGAGGGGGGTTCAGGATGGGGACACATGTACACCCATGGCTGATTCATGTCGATGTATGGCAAATCAGTACGATATTGTAAAGTAAATAATAAATAAAAAAAATAATGTTATGATAGTTTCAGTTTTCTACATTATTAATCACTATTTCTAAATAAAGTATAGGAGTTTCCTTACCGACTTTGATTTTACAAAAAGAAAAAGGACCAAAGTTTTCTCTTTCTAGACACTGCAGTAAACAAAACCTGCCTTCTCTGTTAATAAAGAAAAGGCATTAAATCTGCCAATTATCTGACTATTAGAAAACACATATTGAGAGCTTATTAAATGCAGACCAAACTGTTAAGCTCAAATCTTATCTTTAAGAACTTCTTATCTAATTGGGATATACGTCAATTTATTGGAAGTAATTAAGTAAAAATTCAGTTCAGTTCAGTTCAGTCGCTCAGTCATGTCCGACTCTTTGTGACCCCATGAACCGCAGCTTGCCAGGCCTCCCTGTTCATCACCAACTCCCGGAGTTAAACGACTGTTAATTTCAGACACACAAAAGTCATTTTCACTTCTGTGAAATGCATTTAATCCATCTGATCGATAAATGTTGAAAATCAGTTATATCACATATAGGATGCTTTGTAAAGACAGAATAATAGAAATCATAATAAAGATTCACTTTCATTTGCCTACAGTTATGCCACTTTTGCCACTGCTGCCCCTGTGGCCCAGAGGCAAGGAACACACCTGTAATGCAGGAGATGTGGATCTGACCCCTGGGTCGGGAAGATCCCCTGCAGGAGGGCATGGCAACCCACTCCAGTATCTTTGCCTGGAGAATCCCATGGACAGAGCGGCCTTGTGGACTATAGTCCAGAGGGTTACAAGAGCTGGACATGACTGAAGTGACTGAGCACGCATGCATGTCACTTTTACTGAAGAAAAAGCATTTTATTTTTTAATTTTTAGAGAACAGAAGTTCATAAAATAGACTTAAATTTGATGGATTCTTTAGATAAATCATTATTGGGATTATAGTTATTAGAATTGCTTTGAATTTGATTTGAATATATTTAAGCAGCTTAGATTAAGATTGTATTACATGAATGGTAATGCACATGAAATTATCTTAAAAATGATTGTGCACTTTGTAGATGCCACAATTTTATGAAATATTTCTATGTTGATGTTAAAAGTGTAACCAGAAATGCTCATCTAGACATGAGCACACATCTGAGATAAATGGACTTGATGGTCCTCCAAGCCTGGAATTCCAGTTCCTACACCTACTCCCACTCATCCACCCACATCTATTGGACAAGTGCCTGATTAAACAGATGGGACTTGGTCTGTGCTCTCCAAACAGGCAAACTCTACCTTTATTAAGCAAAACATTGGGGAAAAATAGGTTATATTGTGTTATTGTGATTCTGGGCATGATAATTTGAATGTAAAGCTACTCTTTATTACTATTGTTTGTTGTTGGAAATAAGTTTTTCTTTATGAATGAATATGTATAAACTGGAGGACAACAGATGGAGTTTCAGGGATCTGGAAAACCTATAGACAAGGAAGGAGTTCTCAGTCAGATTTAAAAATAAAAAATCAGCAGAAGTGTGAAATGCCATGCAGTTTTAAAAATGCATGTAGCTAAGATTTTTAAGAAAGTGTTTGGGTTTGCCAATAGACATCATGAAATTTCCCCCATCCACTAAAGGTTATGGACCCAAGATAGAATTGGTAATGATTTGAGAGAATAGCATTGAAACATGTATATTATCATATGTGAAATAGATCACCAGTCCAGGTTGGATGCATGAGACAGGATGCTCAGGGCTGGTGCACTGGAATGACCCAGAGGGATGGGATGGGGAGGGAGGTGGCAAGGGGGTTCAGGATGGGGACACATGTACACCCATGGCTGATTCATGTCAATGTATGGCAAAAACCGCTACAATATCGTAAAGTAATTAGCCTCCAATTAAAAAAATTAATTTGTTTTTTGAATGTTGAATTTTAAGCCAGTTTTTTTCTCTCTCCTCTTTCACATCAAGAGGCTCTCTGGTTCCCCTTCACTTTTTGCCATAGTGTTAACATACTATAAGCTCTAAGACAAAGCAAGGCCAAGAAAGCCCCAATCATCAGAGCTCCAAAATAAAAGCCAGAACACTATTGGTTTAACAATAGCTTTTCAGGGAAAGAAAAAGAAAAATGGCCTTATATACACACAGCAGTTCTGAGATGATCCTGAGGTCAGATGTTTTTGAATTGAGGAGCATCAGAGGCAAGTTTGAACTCAGGACTGTATGGCTTCAGAACCATTATTTTTACTATTATTCTCTGCTCTTCCAATTCAAAACATCTGTCCTCAACTACAAGATACTGGGAAATGCTCATGAAGAAAATAAAATTCTTACAGAAAATTGTAGAAATGGAAAAATATAAAACCAAAGGAAAATATGAAAAATGCCCCCAAATCAAAACAAAAACACCATCAACTTCAAACTTGCCAGCAACATTTAAAATAAATACATTAAAAATAAAAAGACTTGGTAACATCTTCCTCATGCCTCTTCAGCAAGGTGCCACTTCAACACAGTTTGATTTTGGGAAAATATTAAGTCCTGGATACCATCTAGGTAAATATTACACGTTTTCACTGTGACGTCAGGACGGTTTGAGGACTCTGCGTTGACACAGTGGCAGATGACTTGTAATATCTGAAGGGAGTTTTGTTTGACTAATGGGGTTGCTACTCAGTCCATATTTATGATGAAAGCACTGAGGAAAGCCAAGCGCAGCTATTATTGTTAATAGATGGCCCTGTGCTTGGAATATCATATGAGATAAGATTTGATGCTCTAATATTGACATATTGAGAAAACCTTCAAAGGTGTTTGTTCTCCATGCATTTTTATAATGTTTTCTTTATTGTTGCAATAAAATAAACCATCACATATGGATATAGGCATTTATTCTTAAAATGTTACATTTTTTATTGATGAAATCATTAACACTCTAACATTTGCTTCTCTTACTATGACAGTGCATGGTCTGTGGATATCACACTAAAATTCAAGTTAAAGAGTCCTAGTATTCCTTCTTAAATGATTTCTATAATCTTTTGGTAGCTCAGATTTCTCCACAAAGAAAGTCACCTTGATGACTACATACTTTATGTTGTTCCAAGAGTTCTGTTTTCTGACTTTTGTAATGACTAGATTATCATAGGTGTAAGGTTGCTTAATACTTCAGCAAAAAAATTGCCATGGAACTTTTTGAATATTTGACCTCTTAAAATCTAAGTGGAATTGTCTTATATTTTGCTTATTATTTGACTTCTATAATTGTGTGGGCTCGATTAATAGATAAATGGGTATGAAATGAGAAATCATTGTTTTACAAAAATATTTAAAATATGTTTCTTTCCCACAAACAAAAAATTAATGCAAAAAAGAATAAATTTGTTACTATTTAAGTTCATTATTATAGCAGAGTAACTTGAGATAGCTTTATTTGATGGTGTTTAATTTAATTAAAATTATCATTATACTTTTTTGTTACATTGTCTTTTGAAATTATTGAAATTGCTTAAGTAACATTTTTATATCTCTACTTGATAAAATGGTGAAAACAGAAGGTTAATTTAGATACAGAATGGTAATAAAAGGATCATAATATGTATTTTATTTTATTAGAAGGAAGAACATTGTAAAAATAGTCATTTCAAGAGAAAAAGGAGATAAAAATAGTGAATATTTACATTTTCATACATCATAAAACAAAGAATCTATCTTTATATGAAAGTACATATTGTGATATATGTTTGTGTGTATATGTATAGCATGAGCATTACCAACTTTTTCTTGAAATACTCTGGCATAAACATATTTTAATATATTATTTAACATCTTTTGTTTGTTTTCTTTTAAACAGCAAATGCCAGTCTTCTTGGAGGTGGAGGTGGTAAGTCCTAAATATCACTTAAAATATATTTTATTACTACACCAACCATAAGATGGTTAGTAAGTTCCCTGATACTTTAGCAAAATTAATTTTGCTATATTCATCAAACATGCAAATGATAATCTTCCAGAGAATAATTCATAACAGAAATATCTTGGGTTTATCTGAATGTTATTTTAGCTGACTTCAAAATATGCAGAATACTGTTGTTCTTCTCTTGAAGCTTTGTGTTTCTACCTTTGGCTTAAGTTATAGCAGCTGTAAGCTATTGAGATAAATACACATATGGCAGAATCACTTTAAAAGAATTACTTTATTGACATATAGTTGATTTAAAATGTGTTAATTTCTTCTGTATCGCAGAGTGATTCACTTATACATGTGTATGTATGTGTGTATGCACTAAGTCGCTTCAGGCATATACAACTCCACGTTACCCCAAGGACTGCAGTCTGCCAGGCTGCTCTGTCCATGGGATTCTCCAGGCAAGAATACTGGAGTGGATTGCTGTGCCCTCCGTGTGTGTGTGTGTATGTGTGTCAATACATATATATATATATATATTCTTTTCCATTATGTTTATCACAGGATATTGATTGTAGTTCCCTGTACTAAACAGTGGGATCTTGTTTATTCATTCTATGTATCATAGTCTGTGGGCTTCCCTGACAGCTCAGTGATAAAGAATCCACCTACAGTGAAGGAGATGCAGCAGATGTGGTTCAATCTCTGGGTCGAAAAAACCCCCTAGAGAAAGATACGGCAGCCCGCTCCAGTATTCTTGCCTGGGAAATCCCATGGACAGAGGAGCCTGGCCAGCCACAGTTCATGGGGTCGCAAAGAATCAGACACAACTGAGTGGCCAAACAACAGCAACAGAATATTTGCAAATGCTAATCCTAAACCCCCAGGCCACCCTCCCACTTTCATTCTATGTCATCAACCACAAGTCTGTTCTCTATTTCTCTGAGTCTGTTTCTGTTCTCTAGGTAAGTTCAGTTGTGTCGTATTTTAGGTTCCACATGTAAGTGATGCCATATGGTGTTTGTCTTTCTATTTCTAACTTTCTTCACTTAGTATGCTAATCTCTAGGTCCATCCATGTTGCTGAAAATGGCAGTATTTCATTTCTTTTTATGGCTGAGTAATATTCCACTGTGTATATATACCACAACTTATTTATCCATTCTTCTTTTGATAATCATTAAGGTTGTTTCCATTTCTTGGCCATTGTAAATAGTGCTGCTGTGAAGTTGGGGGTACATGTACGTTTTTGAATTATAATTTTGTCCAGATATATGCCCTTGAGTGGAATGGCACCTCTATTTTTATTACTTTGAGGAACTTCCATACTGTTTTCCATAGTGGCTGCAAGATAGAGTCACTTTTTTTTAGAGTCACTTGTAGTGTGAATTCTAAAACAATGCATCTGGAAACTTGTGGTTTTTCTTTTTTCAACTTAATGACTAAAAAAATCTTTGTAGCCTGAGGGCTTCACATGTCAGCAACTTACTGTGAAAAATAAAAAAAAGAAATTAGTATTGACATTTTGCTTTTTCTTTCTTCCTTTTTAGAGGAGAAAGAGAAAGAGATCAAAGTGAGATGAGGAAGAGAGAGATTCCTGTACTAGGAATTCTTTTCTGATACTAAAATCTTGGAATAAAAATAAAATATTATTTTTATTTCTAGGTTGAAAGATGAAAGCATTCCTAGCCCCAGTCTATATTACATAGTGAGGGAGGAAAAACATATACAATAGAATGGGGTCCTTTTCATTTAGGACCCAGATGGACATGAGTAGGTTTATTTTCTCTCCTTCCTCCTGCTCCTTCTTTTCATGTACATGGTTGAAGTAGACATGATTATACAGAGCTTTACGTTTTCAACAAACAATCTGGAACTTGTTTACTTGATCTTGAACTTTTAAGAAATATAATCCTTTATTAATGATAACCAGGAGATTTCAGTGTAAATTTCATTAGAAAATTAAAATTTTCACCATTGTTCTCATATTTGGATCAATAGATGTTTAAAAACAGAATGTTGGAAATGGAAATAATAGAAAACAGTTTAAACTAGAAAGTGCTCTTCATATTATCATGTCAATGCACATTCTGAGCAAAATATTTTTCCTCTTCCTCAACTTTCTTTAGAAAATATATGCAAGGTGTCCCATTGTTCTACTTCTTTTTTGGTATTCTTTGGGAACTAAAAGGGAAAATTTCCTTAAGAATTTACTGGTTTCCTGGTAAACTTTTATCTCTAGGTTTCTTATATGAAAGAAGCATTAAAATAATTCATTCATAGTGCTGATTTTCTTCCATGACATGTAAGTATTTTAACAAATTGGACTACTACCATTAGATAGGATAAAAATGTTAAAGTTGAGTCTAGATGTACAAATCCAGACTATTATAGTTCTTGGCTAAAGAAAACTGAATTAACTAATTATATAAGTTGAAATCATTTTAGCTGCCCGTAACAGAAAACCCCACAACAACAGTGACTTAAAAGAGATAGAAATATATTTCTGTCTCTTCTAAAAGTAGTCTAGATGTAGGCTAGACCAGTGGTGTGATAATCCCATCAAGCACTCAGGCTCTGAATTTTATGGTCTTCTTCCTACTGTGTGGAACTTAGGGTCCATGAAGGCTACTGGACTTTAGCCATCAAAAATTTGGGGGTCAGTAGGAGTAAGGCAACAATAAAAAAAGGTGGCTCCTCAAAATCACGCCAGTTTTCTTAGTGCACCTTTATTAAAGTCCCACATTATCCTTGAGTTGATCAAATGTTCATTCGTGGATAAGACAGTTTTATTCCAGGAAGCAATATGCTCATCCAAAAAAACGCCGTGTTCTCTTTTCTGTGGAGGAAGGAGAGGGTGGAGGTTTTGGCAGGCAGTGACTAGTCTCTGCCATTGTGAGAAGGCAGGCAACTAGTTCAAGTACCCTTGTCGAACTGCTGTGTTTCAGTCTACGTGTGCATGACTGGTGTGTATAGAGTTAACTCTAGTGAGTTAGCCTGTATTTCCTTGTGGTTCCTTCAGCCTTTGTGAGAAGAAGTATTGTAAATATTGTCAAATATTGTAAATTTTCAGCAATAGCAAGACATTCAGGAATAGGAAAACTTGGTTTTTCTTTACCTGAAGAAGATACTTGAGTCCTCTAGATGGTTGATGTTGCTAAATGCATTTATTTGCCATAATTTCTCATTTCTGAATTCTAAAATTAGCAGCTCAGTATCATTATAAAGATAAATTATAAGTATTTAAGATGGCTGTAATTTCTTTCATTAAAGTAGGTCATTGACAGGTTTAAATTCATTTATGCACTTCTGGAGATGTCAAGATTGCTGTAAAATGCATGTTTGATTTTTGGAAGGCTGCTTTTAAAAATTAAATTTAAGGAATATTTTTAGCCTTCTTTGAACTTATTTTTGGCCTTTTGATTCTATGAGAGATCTTATTAATCCTGTCAGTGATATTTGTACAGCAACAGCTAATAATCATCCAATAAGGAACACTTGAACTGATATAATCCTCTTGGATTTAATCAATGATTCCTTTTGTTGACTTGAATTAATATCCCTTCAAAAATCTCTAAAGGAAATAGTTCTTTGATTGACTAAAAAATTTGGTCAAGAAAATTTGGCACCATATAAAAAATAATAAGGGTACCTTAAGTACCATTTTCTCAGGTTCTCAGGAGAGCTTCCCTCCAATTCTATGTAAGTTGTACTTGAAATTTAGGCAAACTTAGTCTGTATAAAATTGTATTACCTATAATCTTAGCATTTTGCTGTTCTTTTTTGAGTGCTTATTAGCAAGACATCTCCTAAAAGGAGATTGTAAGTATGATTACAATCATCCTCTCAGTTTGGGTTTTAAAGTGAGAGAATCATTTCATGTGGGTGTGCATTGTCATCTTTTGCCAGAGGTCACTATCTTTAGAAACTTCATGTAACTTAGTGTCATTGTAGTGAACATAAGTGATAGGCTTTCAACTACCTAGGCATATCAGCTAAAATACTTGCTAAAATGGATCATCTTTGTATATATTTCCTAGATATATTAAGGGCATATAAATATAATAATATTTAAGTAAGAAGTGGCCAGTCTATAGTGACTGGATTCTATCTTTCAGGAAGCCTTTATATTGTCTATGTAATGGTACAGTGTCAAAAAATCTTAGAAGTCCTATTAATTTTTTATGAGGTCGCCATCATTGCTCACAGTAATAACCTGCATGGCTGTATAGCACATTGATATATAAAACAAGTGAATTTTATTTTCTTATTTAGTGCTTTTGCTCATCAGGGTAGTCTATATTAAACTGTCCTGGTGGCTTAAGACAGTAAGGCTCATTTCTTGCTCACATCATAGTCTGAGTAGCTTGGTAGCTATCCTACTCAGGCTCTGCCACAAGTGGTAACACAGAGTCTCAGATTGTTTTCCTATCTTACACCTACTCTATGTGATATGTGACTCCAATCACAAAACAGGAAGAGAGAGCTGGTGGATCTTGTGGATTGTATTTACAGAGCAGTTCGTGAATGGTTTGTGTCAATTCTGCTCGTTTCATGGGTCAGAATTCAGACAGGTGACCCCTAACCTAAATACAAGGAAGCCTGAGAAGAATGAAATGGTGTGGTAAATACCTAGTGCTGTCTCAGACACAGTGCACAGGTGAGATCAGTTTTAGTATTATTTTAATGCTTGAGAGAAATTCGACTTAGGGAGATTTGATGACTTCTTCAAGGTCACACAGCCTATAAGTGCAAAGGTCCAACGGATGATTATTTTAACAAGGCTTAAGCTCAGTTGATAATTTGAAAGTACATACAGTAGCACTGTCTTAACAGTACCTGTGGACTGTCATCCAGATTCGTATACCTTTTTTCTGTATTTGATGTTTAGTCTGAGAGCACATTGCGTTTTAAATACCTGTTCACTCATCTGTAATAAGCATGTTTTACATGCACGAAGTCCTATGATGTTGTACT